GTAACTCTGTTGTGTGCACGTGTAACTGTGTTGTGCGCACTTGCAACTGTGTTGTGTGCACCTGTACCTGTGTTGTGTGCACATGCAACTGTGTTGTGTGCACGAGTAACTGTGTAGTGTGCACTTGCAACTGTGTTGTGTTCACTTGTAACTGTGTAGTGTGAAATTGTAACTCTGTAGTGTGCACTTGTAACTGTGTAGTTTGCACTTGTAACTGTCTAGTGTGCACTTGTAACTGTGTAGTGTGCACTTGTAGCTGTGTAGTTTGCACTTGTAGCTGTGTAGTGTGCACTTGTAGCTGTGTAGTTTGCACTTGTAGCTGTGTAGTGTGCACTTGTAACTGTGTAGTGTGCAGTTGTAGCTGTGTAGTGTGCACTTGTAACTGTGTAGTGTGCACTTGTAAATGTGTAGTGTGCAGCTGCAGTTGTGTAGTGTGCACTTGTGGTTGTGTAGTGTGCACTTGAAGCTGTGTAGTGTGCACTTGTAACTATGTACTGTGCACTTGTAACTGTGTAGTGTGCACTTGTAGCCGTGTAGTGTGCACTTGTAGCTGTGTTATATGCACTTGTAACTGTGTTATATGCACTTTTAGCTCTGTTAAGTGCACTTGTAACTGTGTTGTGTCCACTTTTAACTGTGTTGTGTGCACCTGTAACTGTGTTGAGTGCACGTGTAACTGTGTCGTGTGCACTTGTAACTGTGTTGTATGCACTTGTAACTCTGTTGTGTGCACCTGTAACTGTGTTGTGTGCACCTGTAACCGTGTTGTGTGCATGTGTTACTGTGTAGTGTGCACTTGTAACTGTGTTATGTGCACTTGTAAATGTATTGTGTGCACTTGCAATTGTGTTGTGTGCACTTGTAACTGTGTTGTGTGCTCTTGTAACTGTGTTGCGTGCACTTGTAGCTGTGTTGTGTGCACTTGTAACTGTGTTGTGTGCACTTGTAACTGTGTTGTGTGCAGCTGTAACTGTGTTGTTTGCGCTTATAAATGTGTTGTGTGCACTTGTAACTGTGTTGTGTGCAGCTGTAACTGTGTTGTTTGCGCTTATAAATGTGTTGTGTGCACTTGTAACTTTGTTGTGTGCACTTGTATCTTTTTGTTGTCTGCACTTGTAACTGTGTTGTGTGCACTTGTATCTTTTTGTTGTCTGCACTTGTAACTGGGTTGTGTGCACGTGTAACTGTGTCGTGTGCACGTGTAACTGTGTTGTGTGCACTTGTAACTGTGTAGTGTGCACGTTTTACTGTGTCGTGTGCAAGTGCAACTGTGTTCTGTGCACCTGTAACTGTGTTGTGTACATGTGTAACTGTGTAGTGTGCACTTGTAGCTTTGTTGTGTGCACTTGTAAATGTGTTGTGTGCACTTGCCGCTGTGTTGTGTGCACTTGTAACTGTGATGTGTGCATTTGTAACTGTATTGTGTGCAATTGTATCTATCGTGTGCACTTATAACTGTGCTGTGTGAACTTGTATCTATGTAGAGTGCACTTGTAACTCTGTTGTGTGCCTTTGTAACTGTGTTGTGTGCACTAATAACTGTGTTGTGTGCACTTGTAACTGTGTTGAGTGCACTTGTAACTGTAAACCATACCACGGGCGAGATTTGAACCCGCGGTCAGAGAGTCTCAAAACTCCAGACCGTCACGTTAGCCACTGGACCAGCTAGTCTCAATAAGATTCGTCCAACTAGGTATATTTCTACACGATAGGAAGGTTAGCACAGGCACCACTGTGACCACAAATGCAAGTTTTTACAGACGAATCTCTAGCTAGCGTGGCCGTGACGAACTCTAGCTCAAGTCCCCTCAATGCCGTCAACATGACTCACGAAATCGTAATGGCACGATTACAAACAAACCATTTGTGGTCACAGTGGTGCCTGTGCTAACCTTCCTATGGTGTAGAAATATACCTAGTTGGACGAATCTTATTGTGGCTAGCTGGTCCAGAGGCTAACGCGACGGTCTGGAGTTTTGAGACTCTCTGACCGCGGGTTCAAATCTCGCCCGTGGTATGGTTTGTTTGCAATCCTGAGTCACTTGTAACTGTGTTATGTGCACTTGTATCTGTGTTGTGTGCTTTTGTGACTGTGTTGTGTGCACTTGTAACTGTGTTGTGTGCACGTGTAACTGTGTTCTGTGCACTTGTAACTGCGTTGTGTGCACGTGTAACTGTGTTCTGTGCACTTGTAACTGTGTTGTGTGCACGTGTAACTGCCTTGTGTGCACTTTTAACTGTGATGTGTGCACTTGCAACTGTGTTGTGTGCACCTGTAACTGTGTTGTGTGCACTTGTAACTGTGTTGTGTGCAATTGTAACTGCGTTTTGTGCACGTGTTACTGTGTTGTTGTGCACCTGTTTATCTGTTGTGTGCACTTGTAACTGTGTTGTGTGCAATTGTAACTGCGTTTTGTGCACGTGTTACTGTGTTGTATGCGCCTGTGTTGATTGTGTAGTGTGCACTTGTAACTGTGCAGTGTGCACTTGTAATTGTGTAGTGTGCACTTGTAACTGTGCAGTGTGCACTTGTAACTGTGTAGTGTGCACTTGTAACTGTGTAGTGTGCACCTGTAACTGTGTAGTGTGCACTTGTAGCTGCATAGTGTGCACTTGTTTTGTAGTGTGCACTTGCAACTGTGTAGTGTGCACCTGTAACTGTGGTGTTTACTTGTAGGTGCACTTGTAACTGTGTAGTGTGCACTTGTAAAATATTTAGTGTGCACTTGTAAAATGTGTAGTGTGCACTTGTTTAACTGTGTAGTGTGAGCACTTGTAACTGTTAGTGTGCACTTGTAACTGTGTAGTGTGCACCTGTAACTGTGTAGGGGTGCACTTGTAATCTTGTAGTGTGCACTTGTAACTGTGTAGTGTGCACCTGTAACTGTGTAGTGTGCACTTGTAACTGTGTAGTGTGCACTTGTAACTGTGTAGTGTGCACTTGTTACTGTGTAGTGTGCACTTGTAACTGTGTAGTGTGCACTTGTAACTGTGTAGTGTGCACCTGTAACTGTGTAGTGTGCACTTGTAACTATGTAGTGTGCACTTGTAACTGTGTAGTGTGCACCTTTTTAACTGTGTAGTGTGCACTTGTAACTGTTTAGTGTGCACTTGTAACTGTGTAGTGTGCACCTGTAACTGTGTGGTGTGCACTTGTAACTGTGTAGTGTGCACTTGTAACTGTGTAGTGTGCACCTGTAACTGTGTAGTGTGCACTTGTAACTGTGTAGTGTGCACCTGTAACTGTGTAGTGTGCACTTGTAACTGTGTAATGTGCACTTGTAATTGTTTTGTGTGCACCTGTGTTGACTGTTTTATTGCAACAGTGTAGAGTCAGACAATCATCAGTTACTGACTCTCGTCATCTAATACAAAGCATCAACAGTGTCTAGTTCCACTACTGTTCTTTGTCACACTCCCACTACTGTTCTTCGTCGCACTCCCAGTACTGTTCTTCGTCACACTCCCACTACTGTTCTGTGTCACACTCCTACTGTTCTTGTCACATCTAACTGTTAGTTCGTCACACCCACTAACTGTTCTTTGTCAACTCATACTGTTCTTGTCACATTTCGTACTGTTCTTCGTCACACTCCCATCTTTTCTTTGTCACCTCAAACTGTGTTCCTTCGTAACTAATACTGTTCCCTTGTCAAACTACTGTTCTGTAAATTTGCATACTGTGTATGTTCACTTCCAACTGTTTATTGTCACTGTAACTGTTCTTGTCACCTCTCAACTGTTCTTGTGCACACTTACCCACTAGTTGTGCACCTTTCAACTGTGTTGTCGCACCTCACTACTGTTCTTTGTCACTCCACTACTGTTCTGCGTCACCTCTCATTTAGTTGTGCACTTTAACTGTGTTAAGTGCACTTACTGTTTCGTGTCACCTCTACTGTTTTCACTGCACACGTATGTTCGTCGTCAATCACATTACTGACTTCGTCGTCACTCAACTACTGTCTCCCCACAACACTGTTGTTCCCCTACACTGTTCGTTCGTCACACTTCCACTACTGTTCTTCGTCACACTCCCACTACTGTTCGTGTCACACTCCCACTACTGTTCTTCGTCCCCCCATGTTCTTCGCCACACTCCGTTCTTCGCCACACTCCCACTACTGTTCTTCGTCACACTCCCACTACTGTTCTTTGTCACACTCCCACTACTGTTCTTCGTCACACTCCCACTACCGTTCGTCGCCACACTTCCACTACTGTTCGTCGTCACACTCCCACTACTGTTCTTCGTCACACTCCCACTACTGTTCGTCGTCACACTCCCACTACTGTTCGTCGTCACACTCCCACTACTGTTCGTCGTCACACTACTTCCCACATACTGTTCTTCGCCACACTCCCACTACTGTTCGTCGTCACACTCCCACTACTGTTCGTCGTCACACTTCCACTACTGTTCTTCGTCACACTCCCACTACTGTTCGTCGTCACACTCCCACTACTGTTCGTCGTCACACTCCCACCACTGTTCTTCGCCACACTCCCACTACAAAGCTTCACTAATAACATAATCTTTCTTACAAGTGGCAAATATCTAAATCAAAGAACATTCCACTATGAACCGCTTTTTTGCACACAAAACAAATTGAAGAAGGAATCAGTGTTTGAGTTTAGTTTGAAGAGATGTCTCTGTGGGAAACTGACACTGATTCTGTACTGGGATGTCAGACCATCAAGTTTCCAGCATCATAATCTTCGCTTGACTTTGTGACATTCAAACAAAATAATATATACACATCAGAAAATCCGTCTGCTGAGAAATAAATTCTACTGAGATTCAGATCTTCAATTACAAGATAATCCAGCAAACTGTACCTGAAGTCTGAGGTCCCTGCTAGGAGCCTGGGCTCCTAATATCACTCAGGTTCATTAAAGCTGATGATCCTTACTATGCTACTGAGAGCTAAGGAACGTTAAAGAAATAGACATCTTTATAAACTGTATAAACAAACTATACATGTTTATTAAAGCGTTAATAGAGCTGCTGGCCCTCACTCAGCTGGGGATGGAGTTAAGGTACATAAACACTTTTATAAGGCGACCTCTTCCTCTTCCTCTTCCTCGGATTCGTCAGCAAACTGGATGTCGTCGAGGTTGAGGATTTTGCTGCTGCTGCTGTGTGTGGTGGGTGTCACGTCGTCGTCGTCGTCGTTATCGTCGTGGTGGTGGCCGTTGTACTTTACGCCGTTGTGGGTGAAACTTATTGTGTCCTGCAGCTCCGAGCCATCATTAGCTTCGTCAGACTTGATGCTTGTTTGCATGGAATAAGTTTTGGGAGGGGAGTCAACATGCGGGATGTTGAGGTGCTGTAGAGGGAGGGCGTTAGGCCTCGGGGCTTCCTCTGCCGTGGGCGTAGCTGTGGGCGTGGCCTCAGACAAACTGAGCATGTTAAGAGGGATACCCTGGTCTGTGGGCGAATTGTCGCTGGAACTTAGAAAGAAACTGGGTGCCCAGGCAAGCACCAGCGGGTCCATACCAAACAAAGACCCGGGAACAGCTGAGGCGTTGTCCATGTCGTAGTCATAGTAGTCGTACTCCATTTCAGTGTCTGTGCCATTGACAGACACGTCTGACACGGAGGAGGAACCCCTCATGGTGGCGTTGGAGGTAGAGCGGGAGAGAGCAGAGCGACGCACACGCTCAAGGTTCATCTTCTCCTTGACTAGCTTGGGTAACAAGCGAGCGTCCCTTGTGGTCTCCTCCGTTAACACTGACTTACGATATTCACGGTACTTGGACGAGTTCTCTTCCCCCTTTATGTTTGTGTCTTCTACTTGGTCCTCCTTTCCACTCTCTCCATCGTCCTCTCGTTGAGTCTCGTGGATGGGCGAGATACAACGAGTCTCAAGCTCATCCACGGAAGCAAATCGTCTTTTCTTGCGCTTAAAAGTACCACTGCCTCTCCTGAGAAGCCTCCCCAGGTGGGAAGACGACCTCCTGATGGTGGAGGGAGTGGAGACTCTGCGAGTGAGGAAGGGGGAGTTAGGTAGTGAGTGTTGTGGTGCTTTATGCCGCTGCTCACACTCTAGAGGTGAGTATGAGGCGGATCTTCCTCGACGAGTAAGTGGCAGTGACACTGGCAACTTGGGCCTCGGTACCAGCGATTTCAAGGAGATGACTTCTGTCAGCGTAAGGGTGGAGGAGGCGTCAGTAGGGTCCTTGGAGGGGGTGCTGGGGGGTGTGGCATAAGGAGACTCCGGGAGGAGCCTCGCACGCTTGTATAATCTGTACCTGCCGCAGTGATAGACGGCGAGCACCACCACGGCAGCCATCAGCGCCGCCACGAACACCACCGCTGCTATGTGCATCCCCTGAAGCAGTCCCCACCGCGGCTCCGTGGCTCCCGTTACACCAGGTCCACCCACAACACTCTCACCTCCTGCTGCTGCAACAGATAAACTGCATCAGGAGGCTGGACATTTATAAGCTGATATATGACAACAATTATGAGGTAAAATTTTACAAGATCGTGGTCAGTGACCTGTTGCTCCTTACAATAACAGTCAAGTTTATTCAGTAAAAACATTACTAAAAATATGGACTCAGTATCACTGTGTCACATCGCATAACATTATTCATCTGAACATGTATTGTGACACTGTCACATCGCATAATATCGTTCATCTGAAAATGTCTAGTGACACTGTCATGTCACACATCATTCATCTGAACATGTCTTGTGACACTGTGTCATGTGGAGAAATTTATCTAGAACTGGGGGTAAGTAGCATAAGGGGCTGCAGCCTCTCTCTCTCATTTCGGCATCTGGAGACCAGATGTGCAACAAGAGTGTTTCGATGATCAAGTATGTACCACCGCAGCAATAACTCGTGTACTGCATGTGTTGCTTACCATGCAGATTTAGACTCCTACTAAATTGGATCAAGATCAGATGAAGATAAAATGGACATATGATCTTTGCATATGTACAGCTGACTCTCCTCTTATGTGAGAGAATCTGCCATGTAATATATTCACGTGTTTGTCTGAGGAAGCCTCTATTTCCTAGGATCAGTAAAATTTCGTAGTAATGTGCCACTAACTTGATATCATAACATAGAGGAGCAGTACAGTAACACTGAAGACCAGTACAGTAACACTGAAGACCAGTACAGTAACACTGAAGACCAGTACAGTAACACTGAAGACCAGTACAGTAACACTGAAGACCAGTACAGTAACACTGAAGACCAGTACAGTAACACTGAAGACCAGTACAGTAACACTGAAGACCAGTATAGTAACACTGAAGACCAGTACAGTAACACTGAAGACCAGTACAGTAACACTGAAGACCAGTACAGTAACACTGAAGACCAGTACAGTAACACTGAAGACCAGTACAGTAACACTGAAGACCAGTACAGTAACACTGAAGACCATAAGTACACTGAAGACATACAGTAACACTGAAGACCAGTACAGTAACACTGAAGACCAGTACAGTAACACTGAAGACCAGTATAGTAACACTGAAGACCAGTACAGTAACACTGAAGACCAGTACAGTAACACTGAAGACCAGTATAGTAACACTGAAGACCAGTACAGTAACACTGAAGACCAGTACAGTAACACTGAAGACCAGTACAGTAACACAGAAGACCATACAGTAACACTGAAGACCATACAGTAACACTGAAGACCATACAGTAACATGAAGACAGTACAGTAACACTGAAGACCAGTACAGTAACACTGAAGACCAGTACAGTAACACTGAAGACCAGTACAGTAACACTGAAGACCAGTACAGTAACACTGAAGACCAATACAGTAACACTGAAGACCAGTACAGTAACACTGAAGACCACTACAGTAACACTGAAGACCAGTACAGTAACACTGAAGACCATATGCAACGACTGAAGACCAACAGAACACCTGAAGACAGTACAGTAACACTGAAGACTCAGTATAGTAACACTGAAGACCAGTACAGTAACACTGAAGACCAGTACGTAACACTGAAGACCGTACAGTAACATGAAGACCATAGTAGTAACACTGAATCCATACAGTAACACTGAAGACCGTACAGTAACACTGAAGACCAGTATAGTAACAACTGAAGCACCAGTACGAGTACACTGAAGACCACGTACAGAACACTGAAGACCAGTACATAACTCTGAAGACCACTATCAGTAACACTGAAGACCAGTACGTAACATGACAATCCAGTAACAGTAAACTGAAAGACCAGTCAGTAACACTGAAGACCATACAGTACACTGAAGACCCTATAGTAACACTGAAGACCAGTACAGTAACACCTGAAGACAGTACAGTACACTGAAGACCATATAGTAACATGAAGACGCAGTACAGTAACACTGATAGACCACTACAGTAAACTGAATACCATACTGTAACATGAAGACCTTACAGGTAACACGAAGACATACAGTACATGAAGACAGTACATGTTAACATGTAAGCCATATAAGTAACACTGAAGACCAAGGTACAGTAACATCTGAAGACCAATAAGTAACATGAAGACCATACAGTACACTGAAGACAAGTACAGTAACACTGTAAGACCATGACAGTACACTAAGCCAATGACAGTTTAAATGAAGACCACTACAGTAAACTGAACAGTACAGTACATGAAGATATACATAACATAATGACCATTACAAGTAAGCACGAAGCGCAATACAGTAAATCTGATGACAGTACAGTAACACGCAAGGACCCTAGTACAATGAGACCAGTACATGTTTACACAGTGAAGACTCATTGCAATGGCTTTTACTCAACCAACACCTTAAGTGAGGATCCACTGCTCTTGATTCAGCAAGCTCAGAGTACATCTCACCGTACACTATGGTCGGAATGATTGACTCTAAGTGTAGAATCCCCAGATCTAGATTGTGAAGTGGTTCAATGAATCAATTGTGTCAATTGTAGCTGAGCACGAAGTCTACTGGTCAAGTTCGACCGACGCCGTACTGAAACAGAAATATGTGGATTATCCATCAACTTTGTGTGAAATCAAGTCTGCGATTACAATCTCAGAAAAACTGTAAAAGATACCACAAATACGTAACTCTCCTATGTGCACAAGAGCCAGAAACTCTCCCTGCAGTGAATAATTAGAAACATTAACAAATGAGTGAGTAAACCACTGTAGATTGAATGCTACGTGTAGCTTATTCATATTTAAATGAATGTTAAGGAGAACTGAAGCAAAGATACTATGTTGAAATGTTAACCTTAAGTTATCTCTGCTAAGCAAGGTATTGCTAGAAATTCTGATTGTGGACATTAGTCATGGACATAGTTAACAAAGTGAACTTGTAGAGAAGTGATGGTCAAGTCAAGTGACGTTTAATGTGGCCAAGTGATGAAAGAAGTGAAGATGTCTAACATAATGTCTTCAATCAAGCCATCGATACTTGATTTGATGATGTGAAACGTCAAGGATTCCTGTTACAATGTGCCAGGTAAATTTTTATTCATCCCAGTGGATATGACAATGAATATTTCTACATTTCAATGAGGTGTTGCCTTGCCGACGACACTCGGTCACTCACCACATCTTCATTGGTGGATTTCATTTGTAGCAATCCCGATCTAGCTCTTGAAGTTCCCAGCACCTCAATTTGTAGTCTATTTTCTGCTGACACAATGCTTACAGGTCTAAGTTCGAGCTCTGACGACTTAACTGAATCAAAGAGTGTGGATTCCTCCACTCCAAGGTGTTGGTTGTTGAGTATGATGCCACTAGCCGTGATGTCAACTTAGAGGCATATTACTACAAATTTTTACAGGTCTAAGGAAATAGCAGCTTCCTCAGAGAAACACGTAATATATCTCAGATTCTCTCACATGAGAGGAGAGTCAGTTGTACACAGGCAAGAGTCATATGTTCACTTTATCTACATCTGTTCTTGATCCAATTTAGTGGGAGTCTAAATCTGCATGGTAAGCAACACATGCAAGATTGAGAGATGTTGCTTCGGTATATATATTTGGTCTTCTAAAGACCCTTTTCCACATCTGGTCTTCAGATGCTGAAAAGAGAGAGAGGGGGGTCACAGCCCTCTTATGAAAGGGGTTGCAGTCCCCTTATGTTGCTCGCCCCATGTTGGACATAAATTTCTCCAGTGTCACGTCACATAACATGACACAACAACATGGCTAAACTATTATCTAAGACTAGTGTATATAATCTATATATATATTTAGTAGTATATATTTAATATATATATATAAATTTATATTATATATATATTATATATATACTATATATACACACAAACTGATCTCTGGCTGAAGGAGACTCGAACCTACGACCTTAGGACAAGGTTCGGCAGTGCTTTACAACCTACCCACACTGGACAATACCTTGGCGCGTAGCTTGCGCTACACGGTTTGATCCAAGGGAGCCCGCTTCTAGGGAGGAGGCCTTACAGTTTTTCATTCAGCCCCTGCATGATGCAAGGCTGATGCATGCAGGGGATGGATGAAAAAACTGTAACGCCTTCTCCTGAAAGCTGGCCTGCTTGGATACACGTGTAGCGCAAGCTACACGCCAAGGTATTGTCCTGTGTGGGTAGGTTGGTATAAGCACTGCGTTCCTTGTCCTAAGGTCTCGTAGGTTCGCGTCTCCTTCAGCAGAGATCAGATGTGTTTGTGTATTTTTCGCCTGTATCGCGAATTCCTTGCAGATAAATATATATATATATTATATATATTTATATATTTATATATTTATATATTTATATATATATATAGATATATTATATATATATTTATTTTTTTATTTATTTATTGTGTTTGACAAATGGTGAAGGTAACAACAATATTTAAACCAGAATGTTATCAGTTATGTGAGGTGAGTAAAGGAGCATGCTACTGTCACTGTTGCTACTGTCACTGTTGCTACTGCGCACTGTTGCTACTGTCGTGTTGTACTGTCCCATGATACTGTTGCTACTGTCACTGTTGCTACTGTCACTGTTGCTACTGTCACTGTTGCTACTGTCACTGTTGCTACTGTCACTGTTGCTACTGTCACTGTTGCTACTGTCACTGTTGTACTGTACACTGTTCCGGCTACTGTCACTGTTGCCTACTGGTCACCTGTTGCTACTGTTCACTGTTGCTACTGCCACTATTGCTACTGTCACTGTTGCTACTGTCACTGTTGCTACTGTCACTGTTGCTACTGTCACTGTTGCTACTGTCACTGTTGCTACTGTCACTGTTGCTACTGCCACTATTGCTACTGTCACTGTTGCTACTGTCACTGTTGCTACTGTCACTGTTGCTCTGGTCACTGTTGCTAACTGTACTGTTTGCTACTGTCACTGTTGCTACTGTCTGTTGCTACTGTCACTGTTGTACAGTCACTGTTACTACGTCACTGTTGCTACCTGTCGGCTGTTGACTACTGTCACTGTTGCTACTGTCACTGTTGCTACTGTCACTGTTGCTATGGTCTCTGTTGCTACTGACCCACGATTGCTACGTCACTGTTGTACTGTCACTGTTGCTACTGTCACTGTGCTACTGTCACTGTTTCTACTGCACTGTTGCTAGCCACTATTGCTATGTCCACTGTTGCTTTCTGTCACTGTTGCTAACTGCCATTGTTGCTACTGTCACTGGTGCTACTGTCACTGTTGAATACTGGTCACTGTTGTACTGTCACTGTAGGCTACTGTCACTGTTGCTACTGTAACAGTTGCTTTGCCATTGTTTGCTACAGTCACTGTTGCTACTGTCACTGTTGCTACTGTCACTGAGTTTGCTAATGTCTTGTTGCTACTGTACTGTTGCTACTGTCACTGTTGCTAACGTCCTTGTTGCTACTGCACTGTTGCTTCTGTCACTGTTGCTATGTCACTGTTGGCTACTGTCCCTGTTGCTACTGTCACTGTTGCTACTGTCACGTTGCTTACTTTCACTGTTGCTACTGTCACGTTGCTACGTCACTGTTGCTACTGTCATAGTTGTACTGGATTGTTGCTACTTCACTGTTGCTACTGTCACTGTTGCTACTGTCACTGTTGCTACTGCCACTGTTGCTTCTGTCACTGTTGCTACTGTCACTGTTGCTACTGTCACTGTAGCTACTGTACTGTTGTACTGCCACTGTTGCTTACTGTCCCTGTTGCTTACTGTCACTGTTGCTACTGTCAAACTTGTTTTTGCTACTGTCAACAGTTGCTACTGTCACTGTTGTTACTGTGTTGCTACTGCCATTGTTGCTACTGTCACTGTTGCTACTGTCACTGTTGCTACTGTCACTGTTGCTACTGCCACTGTTGCTACTGTCACTGTTGCTACTGTCACTGTTGCTACTGTCACTGTTGCTACTGTCACAGTTGCTACTGTCACTGTTGCTACTGTGTTGCTACTGCCATTGTTGCTACTGTCACTGTTGCTACTGTCACTGTTGCTACTGTCACTGTTCTCAGTAGTAGTAACCAGTTACCAGTAACCACTGTGCCAGTTGACTCACGACCAACCGTCTCTGCCTGAGTCACTGTCTGAACTATGTGCTGAACTGGCAGTATTCAAAGAACCCCTCACATATGGGTTACTGTGTGGGGCCAGTCAGTCAGTTTTTTTTGTTCGCGAGAGAGAGAGAGAGACTAGGAATACGGCTGTAACGGCGCTACTCACCTTGTCTCTGTATTTATACGTACTACCCAGCCCAACGTGAGTAATTTCTTTACGTTAGTCCACGTGTCGAACACTCCCACATGATACTGTTGCCTCCCTGGCACCCTCTGTTTGCTACTGTCACTGTGCTACTGTCACTGTTGCTACTGTCATGTTGCTATGTCACTGTTGGTACGTCACTGTGCTTAACGTCCACTGTTGCTACTGTCATTGTTTGCTACTGTCACTTGTTTGCTACTGTTCACTGTTGCTACTGTCACTGTTGCTACTGTCACTGTTGCTACTGTCACTGTTGCTACTGTCACTGTTGCTACTGTCACTGTTGCTACTGTCACTGTTGCTACTGTCACTGTTGCTACTGTCACTGTTGCTACTGTCACTGTTGCTACTGTCACTGTTGCTTACTGTCACTCACTGTTTGCTACTGCCATGTTGCTACTGTTCACTGTTGTTTTATGTCACAGTTGTTGCTACTGTCATTGTTGCTTTCTGTCACTGTTTTGCTACTGTCATTGTTGCTACTGTCACTGTTTGCCTACTCCGTCACATGTTTTGTACTGTCACTGTTGCCTACTGTCAACTGTTTGCTAACTGTCACTGGTGCTACTGTCACTGTTGCTGTCACTGTTGCTACTGTCACGTGTTGACTACAGTCACTGTTGTACAGTCACAGTTGCTACTGTTCATGGATGTACTGTCACTGTGTTGCGCAATGTCACTGTTTTGTACTGTCACTGTTGCTACTGTCATGTTGCTACTGTCACTGTTGGCTACTGTCACTGTTGCTACTGTCATGTTGCTACTATGCCCATTGTTGCTTCTGTCATGTTTCTACTGTCACTGTTGCTACTGTCTTTCACTGTTGCTACATGTCATTGTTGCTACTGTCATGTGGCTGACTGTCACTGTTGTGCTACTGTCACTGTTGCTATGTCACTGTTGCTTTCTGCACTGTTGCTACGTCACTGTTGCTCACTGTCACTGTGTGCTACTGTCCACTGTTGCTACTGTCACTGTTTTGCTTACTCGCCATTTGTTGTGCTACGTCACTGTGCTAATGTCACGGTTGCTACTGTTCACTGTGGCTACTGTCACTGTTGCTACTGTCACTGTTGCTACTGTCACTGTTGCTACTGCCATTGTTGCTACTGTCACTGTTGCTACTGTCACTGTTGCTACTGTCACTGTTGCTACTGTCACTGTTGCTACTGCCACTATTGCTACTTTCACTGTTGCTACTGTCACTGTTGCTACTGCCATTGTTGCTACTGTTCAGGTTGCTTACTGTCCTGTTGCTACTGTCATTGTTGCTACTGTCACTGTTGCTACTGTCATTGTTGCTACTGTCATTGTTGCTACTGTCACTGTTGCTACTGTCATTGTTGCTACTGTCACTGTTGCTATGTTCCACTGTTGCTGTCATGTTGCTACTGTCACTGTCTTGTGCTACTGTCACTGTTGCTACTGTCACTGTTGCTACTGTCATTGTTGCTACTGTCACTGTTGCTACTGTCACTGTTGCTACTGTCACTGTTGCTACTGTCACTGTTGCTACTGTCACTGTTGCTACTGTCACTGTTGCTACTGCCATTGTTGCTACTGTCACTGTTTCTACTTGTCACTGATTGCTACTGTCATGTTGCTTACTGTCATTGTGCTACTTTCACTGTTGCTACTGTCATGTTGCTACTGTCACTGTTGCTACTGGTCCACCTGTTGATACTCTCACTGGTTGCTACTGTCACTGTGCTTACTGGCACTGTTGCTACTGTCACTGTTGCTACTGTCACTGTTGCTACTGTCACTGTTGCTACTGCCATTGTTGCTACTGTCACTGTTGCTACTGTCACTGTTGCTACTGTACTGTTGATACTTGTCACTGGTGCTACATGTCACTGTTGTACTGTCATGTTGCTACTGGCCATTGTTGCTACTGTCACTGTTGCTACTGTCACTGTTGCTACTGTCACTGTTGCTACTGTCACTGTTGCGACTGCCACTATTGCTACTTTCACTGTTGCTCTGTCACTGTTGCTACTGTCACTGTTGCTCACTAGCGTCATGTTGCTACTGCCTCTGTTGCTTGTCAC